CCCCAAAACCCCAAAACCCCGCAATGAAATATATTATAACAATAGCAAGTGAGAAGTTTTAAAGTAATATAGAATTTTATTTTTATTTGAGAATTTAATAATGAGCTCGACAAGTGGTGTCAAAAAGATAAAGGATCCCTTTAAGTATAAAATGGGAGATATGAGTCTTCATAGAGAAAATGCTCCTTAGTACTATCCTCCTAGAAAGAGAAAGGAATTCAGGGATTATTTGAGTAGATCTAGCGTCAGGTTTTAGCAAATGGTCCTACCCTGTGACATCCCAGATTACTCTAATGATTAAATAGGTAAAAAAGAAATCTTTTTAAGCATAATTGGCAACAATCAAATATTCATTAATATCTGTCTATAGATTAATATAATCCATCGAAAGAACTCAATGACACAATTAATTACCTGAACAATAAGCCCAAATAACAAGCTTTTTCAGTTAATAGACAGAAAATTATGGCTAAAGGTAATCAATTAAAATTAATTTATCATTTGTTTAGCTGCAAAATCTGTTTCAATGGATAGAGCTTAACATAGGAGACCTTCAAATGGCATAAAACCAAAAGCAACCTAGAACTGGTGGGCTGATCAAGAAACCGTCTCGCATTTGATGCTTACCAATTTAGAAAATTTCAACTCGAATGCAGTTAAGTAATAGCATCATTAGCAAAAGTAGTTCTCTAAGAATTTCTCAAAAGCAATTAGAAAAGTCAGTTTCAGAGTGGGTTATGAGGGAGCACCTGATTATCAAACTACGAAAACAAAACTTCATGATATGCCAATGAAGGAAGGTTTCAGTGATTGCGTCCCAGTAATAGAAGAGAAAAGAAATAGGAAAAATGATAGTAATGTCGTGCTAGCTTTAACAAAAAAGGTCATTGGTTCTGACACATTTATTAAAGAAGCTTATAATACTTACAAATCAGTAGATACAACTTAGGCAAGGATTGATTAAAAAGAGAAGTACTAGGAAATCCTAGATTAGAGTCAGCATAATAAATTCTAAGAGCTTATTTCAAAGGCAAGGGAAACTTTGAACAAAAGATTTTTATTGAAAGATAGCTCTCAGGAACAAGCAATAGAGTATGTTAAGTAAGGACTGTCAGCCAAAGAATAAAGATTTTAACAGAGGAATCATTCAAGCGTATTCAATTCTTGTCATGACCCTAACCCTGATTCAATTCAAATTGCCAGTCCTTCTAAGACAGTTGCAAGTACAGCAGTCTTGAATAACTTATACCATCGATCTAGTTCTCTTAGTTAGTAATAGCCACTAAACAATGATGAGGTTAATCTAGATCACTATCATACATTCTACCTCCAATCATTAAGAGACCATGAACTGCATCAAAAGTTGAAAAGCTAGAACTTTCACATATCTGGACCTAATCATAAGCCTATTAATGAATAAATAAGCAATATACAAAAGTAATAGAATGCGTATGGATCAAAGTTGAAAAACTCCGTTTAAGAAAGACCTTAATCCTCATCTGGAGCAAAAAGTAATCAATATCGTACTTCATTCTAGGACACATATTTTAAAAAGACACTTGATAAGCAGTTTCACAAAGATGTGAAGGATGTGTATGATTTTATGAAAAAGCGAAATATCTCTTTCAATCACCCTCTAAGTGACTTGCATACAATATCTGAATAATAGCAGCAATTAAATAGTGCGAGAGTCCCCGACTATAATAATATAAATCTGATCAACCATCTTCCATTTAAAGATGATCAGCACACTAATAATAGTAGATTCAATACCCACTATCGCTAATTATACTTTAATAGGCAGGATAAGGAATCACTAATGAAGAATTTCACTTAGAATAATGACCTCAATTCTTTTTATATGGATAGAATACTCAAAGAAAACCACTTTTTAGGTAAAGTAACAGAATAGGAGCACTTAGACAATCTCAGAAGTGAGAAATAAGTCAGATACTATAGAAGCAAGGAATAAAAGTCAACTATCATGCAAGAAATTCTTGAAGGCAACGGTCCTCATTAATTAAGAGAAGAATTCAAAGAAAAAATCGAGCGCTAGAACTATCACATTAAATAGCCAATCATAAGTGGGGGTGATAAGTTTTTTGAAGATGTTGAAAAGAGAAACTACAACCTGGGTTCTACTCAGGAGTTAATGCTGAATGGTAATAAGACAAATGAGCTAAAATTCACCTTGTCAGCAAGTGACTTCAATCATTTGAATTTTAGAGACAAGATGGATGACTAGAAGAAGACTAATTTCCATTTTGGAAATCACTCAATCACAAATGAGAATGATCAGTCTAAATCTATAGATATAACTTAGGATTAGATAGAGAATGGCTAGGTTAGGAAAACACAAGAACTACCGCCTTAAGGTCAATATTCAACTTTCTCACCCATTAAGTCTAGACCAATAATAGCTTCATTCACAGGTAGCAAAGGCTACTAATCTAATTCTAACATTAACTCTACTTAGACTACTATTTTGTCACGACCCTAAACTGGACAAAGTAATATGCACCCATCTGATGCTAGATATATTACACAGGATGTACACAAGTCAGCAGATAGAATCAAGTAGCAGCATTAAAGATCTAAGGTTATACTTGGCTCTGATGGCAGAGATCACAGAATAAGGACTGACTACAGAAATAATTTCATGTGGACTGTCCCGAAGTTTGCTGTTTGACTATAGATTTAATATACTTTTAGCAGTCTAAAGTAAGAGTAAAATGCCTATTTATTTATTAACTACATTAGTTATTTATTTGCTTGACGGGGTTTTGGGGTTTTGGGGTTTTGGGG